CCTCTGAAAGCAATCTTAAATAGCTAAGTAAACAACAGGAGCTTCACTGGTGGAGCTACCGGTTTTCTCATGGGAGGTGCCAAACTTTTCTGGATTGAAACTTTCTGAGGATTATGTGACTATCTTGAGGCTCCTAGTACCAAACCAAGCAGAAAGAAAATATTTCCTGTAAGTTTCTTGGCTACTAGGGGCACAGAGAGATGAAAAATTGAAAGGTCTTCCTTGACACTGAATCTTGGATTAAAATTGTACATAGTAAAGGTAAGAACAAACCAATGAATATATTAACCATGGTTTAAGAAGAAACTGCTATGCTCTACTATACTGGTGTAAAAAGGAGAGAAAAATGAGTATTACAGTATTTGACGAAATCTTATTTTATACCTCTGCAAAGCTGCAGCAATCCAACAGAAAAAGGAAGAAAAGGTCTTGAAAAATTTGGAAAATAATCTTATCATTAAAAGAACTATTAGGCAGATGGGTAAATATGACCATTTAATTACCATTCAAGAAGGCCAGCCACTGAGTTCCTGTACTCAAATCTTTGTTACGTTAGGCAGTGACTTTGACACTAATAACATTAGAATAGAGGATGTTGATAAGAGTTGATATGGATGAAAAGTGGAATGTTACTACATAAGGTTGCCTTGGTTACTCCTTGAACTGTGCAAATAATAGTGTTCAGGTGAAGAAAATGGACACATATGATAGCGCCAGAAGAACACAATAACAGAAGGATAATTTCTCCAAATAAACAGCCATTTCTGAAAGGGTTCTACTGTGTAAGTCAAATTTTTTTTAAAAAACTGTGCCTCTAAAAATCCTCAATGGAAATACTTGTGATGATTCTTTTGAGTGAAAGTAGTATTCATTAGATTTAATATCTGATCTCATCCATCTGAGCACTATTTGCTTGATATTCAATCTTAGGATATATAAAAATTTGCTTAATTTGTAAGTTAAGATAATTCTCAAATTAAATAAATGAAACCAATCTAAAAAGTTATGAAATTGACATGAATTTTCAATGGACACTCTTAATATCATGTATTAATTATGATTTTGACTTATAAAATGTTCTATTTCTCCATAGATAGTGCTCTATAGTTCATTTATGTGCATTACATAAGGAATAAGGAAATCTCCAGAATGGAATGTAATAGGAATAAGAAATAAAGAAAAACCTGAGGTTTTATATAATGGTTAAATTAATAAAAATATCAATCAATTACCAAATCAATTAGATATGAAAGTATGATAAAGCACAACAAATAAGTCATTTTTAAATTTTTAAAATATTATATTCATAATAATACAGGTCCAGTTTAAAAATACTTAAGATCAAGTTTCCACATTTAAAAAGAGGTGAAACATAATTACAAATTATAGCACTTAGCTATGATGGTCGGTCACATAATTCAATAAGACATTACAGAAATTCTAAAATATATTGAAACTATTTTCACATTTTCCTACTTTTACACTTTTTTTTTAACTATAAAAGATTCTTTACAGAATGACTGCCTGAAGTAGACAAATCAAGACAAGCACATGATGTGTAAGTATGAAAATAAAACTTTGGTATCCACTAATGTTCTCTGTTATAGAGAAACATTATTTACAATGTGTTAATAATTTTATTGAAAGTAGTAGAAGGATATACTTAAATATCAGACAGACCACTTAGTTGAACATTGCAGCAGATAAAAAGTCAAATTTCTAGCAATTCCAGGTGGTTAGCAAGTTCTATGGGTCTATAAACAGATGCTATTCTTATATCCTAATATACAAGCATAAGTTAGTTTTGGGTATATATGAATAATCAGATTCTCATATTTTATGTAACAAATCAAAGAGGCTCTTTAGAAGAGGAAAGAAAAACAATTGTTTACTGGAATTAAATTTAACCCCTATAATTTAAAGGTTGCCTATGTGTAAATGTGTATGTAAATAACACCAAAAGAGAAATGTGAGGGTCTGCTAACATTTTCTTTTCTCTTTTTAAGCCCTTAAATAATATTATAACTAGAAACTAGGTTTCATCTCAAAAGAAAACTATAAGTTTTCACACAATTCAAGTGTGAAAAGTCTCTTACATGGTTAAGTTTATTTAAGGCTTCCTAAAAATATGACTTTATTGTTATTATCAGTTTGATAATTAGCCAGAAAAATTGAAAATTACTATTAATCCTAGTTTCAAAATTTCTACAAGTAATCTCATTGAATAACCAAACTACAGTTTTGGAGAGATCAAGTTCACGGGAGAACATATATAATATACATGTTCATCTGAACTACAAATACTTAGGACTCTAACTATAGAACTACTTTTGCAATTTACTTATTTCTTTAGGGAACTTCATTACCTGTTATATGGGCTTAATTAACTTGAAACTGCAATACTGAATTTGGTCACACTAGCAGATATCAAGGTTTCTCCTACATTGGAAAGAATGGTTTGCAGCCAAGATTAACTGTGTTTATGAAGTATAGCCATCGTTAAGAAACAAACCAAAACAACAGATGACACCATGCTTCCAGCAGACCTGAAGTTCTCAAAATAAAAGAAAGTCTTTGAAAAATCAAAATCAGACCAGTGGGATTTTGATATTAAAATATCTCCTAATAAATGAAATGTGTCAAAAGTAGTCCATATTTTTGATAAAATATAGTTATTTTTACAAGGCATTAAATTTTCATCAAAACTTATTGTAACATTTAAGTTATACATATTAAGGTGCATATTTGGGCTAATTTAAATATTATAGTTTTAAAAAATTTCTGTTCCTACATCTAAAATAAAGTGCGCTGAAGGTATTCTTATACAAACTGACTACAGACACACACAGTTCAGGTTGTCATCCTAAAACTTTGTCCGAAATCTAAACAATTTATTTAAGTAGCAGATTCTAAGACGTCTGCTCAAACACCCCACGTTCCCTGATACTTTCTCCTCAGTATTCTGGTGGTTCCTCTTTGTTTATTCAAGGGGCTGTGTTTTCCTTCCTCATAATTCTCACTTTCGGGTTTTGGTGTAGTTTGTTCTTAACAGTCTCTTTCCTCTGCCACACTGCATGCCGCTACGGACATTGGCGGAGTGATGTTTCTCCTCTGAGGCCCGGACAAGAAAACAGCCAGAGCTGGCACTCAGCATCTCTTGAACCAGTGGGGCAGGTAGAGCAAAAAAATAAGGATGCTCACACTGGGTGTCCAGGAATGGTGTGGGTTTGTTTCCCAAAGTTTGAACTAAATATGCTTACTTTTAACCTCTAGTGGATAAACATAAAAAATAAGTAGTCTGGTTTGAATACCCACTGAGAATTAATATACCGGGGAGCAATACACTCTTGGGAATGGTTAGAAGAAGAAACAGAAATTATCAATGAAAACAGGGTGCATTTAACATTTTTGGGTGTGAGTGTGTGTGTGTGTGTGTGTGTGTGTGTGTGCGTGTGAACTCTACTTCAGTTTACTCCATCAAGAAGTTTCAAAATCAGTCACAATAGATAAAATTTCACATATTAAACCATATAGATTGGTGGGGAAAGAAAAGGTTTCAGAGATTACTTAAAAATAATGAGCAAACAGTGCAAATACTGAGTTGTTTCACTAGAACCTTACCATGTTTTTCAAACCCTTCGAAGAGAATTTTTAAAATGTTCTCCAGTTTTAACACAAACAAAAGATAAATACTTAGGAAGGAAAACAGATTCCGCAGCATTCCATACAGATTTCCAAACAGTCTGATGATTCACAACAGGCATCCATGATGCCACAATCCATGTCGCACGGGCAGTTACAGTCCTCCCCCAGGTCGTCGCCACAACAGCAGCAGCAGGCTTCCGACGTGCAGATGCCGCAGGAGGCTTGGCCCAGGACAATGTTGCAGAGCGTCAGGAATTCACAGAACAGGCACGCCAGGATGCAGTGGACACAGCAGTCTTCATTTGCAATTGTGAGGGGACGACCATGGTGAGACAAAGAAGGAATGCAAAATATATATCATCAATAGATCGAACAGGTACAACCTAAATGACACGCAGCCCCAGGAGTTCCTTTCCATGAGTGGAAGTTCAAAAGAGGGCTCAGGTAAAATCCTATGTAAGTCATCTTTAGCAGTAAATACTGCATTAGCAAAAAAAGAAACAACAACAACAACAAACTTAGTCATGTATATGTGTGCGGGTTGTGTGTGTTACATTTTTACTCCGACATTGGCCCTTGGTCCTAAGTACCTCTTCTCTGTGCTTCTTATCCTTCCAGAGCCTACTCCTCTCTCTAATGCTAGGCTAAAGCAATGTGTTTTTACTAATGTCTGTGATATTTATTAAGAGTTTCCCTCAATTGCTCCACAGAAAAATAGCAAAAAATACAGAGATGAAAGTGTATACAAAGAATGTAAATCACAGACCCTATCTAAAACCCTGAACTTTGCAAAGCCACAGACCTGGGCTCATGTAAGTTCCAGGATTCCTCTAACCGTCTGGGTTTTATCAAAACATTAAAAGATAAAATATTTGATGTATAATTAAATAATTGAATTGTTAAACCAGAATCACTCCAGGTGGATCCACTGTGTTTCCCAATTGACTCAATTTCAATAAATTTCATCATTTAAAAAAAAATTACAAATGAATTAAAGAAAAACAGTGAGAATCTGTAATTGGGTCCAGCGGTCATTACTGGAATAGTTGTGCCTATTTCCAACAAAGGGATTAGCAATTATGAACGATGAATGGGTAGTCTGACTGTTCCACTCCTTTTGGATCTTTACACTTTAGTTTTATTATTTCTTAATGCTTCTCTAAACAACAGTATTTAGTAAATTTCATTAACTAATAAAAAAGTAAGAAACCAAATCACCATCTAACAAGTGCTACCATATTTTAGAATTATTTTCTTTAAAATTTTAGGGCAAGTGGGAGGAGCAATTAAAACAAATTTCTATTTCTAAATGATTTTAACCACATGTAATAAAGTCCTTTTCAGTCCAATGTTTGTGTGTGTGTGTGTGTGTGTGTGTGTGTGCGTGTGAACTCTACTTCAGTTTACTCCATCAAGAAGTTTCAAAATCAGTCACAATAGATAAAATTTCACATATTAAACCATATAGATTGGTGGGGAAAGAAAAGGTTTCAGAGATTACTTAAAAATAATGAGCAAACAGTGCAAATACTGAGTTGTTTCACTAGAACCTTACCATGTTTTTCAAACCCTTCGAAGAGAATTTTTAAAATGTTCTCCAGTTTTAACACAAACAAAAGATAAATACTTAGGAAGGAAAACAGATTCCGCAGCATTCCATACAGATTTCCAAACAGTCTGATGATTCACAACAGGCATCCATGATGCCACAATCCATGTCGCACGGGCAGTTACAGTCCTCCCCCAGGTCGTCGCCACAACAGCAGCAGCAGGCTTCCGACGTGCAGATGCCGCAGGAGGCTTGGCCCAGGACAATGTTGCAGAGCGTCAGGAATTCACAGAACAGGCACGCCAGGATGCAGTGGACACAGCAGTCTTCATTTGCAATTGTGAGGGGACGACCATGGTGAGACAAAGAAGGAATGCAAAATATATATCATCAATAGATCGAACAGGTACAACCTAAATGACACGCAGCCCCAGGAGTTCCTTTCCATGAGTGGAAGTTCAAAAGAGGGCTCAGGTAAAATCCTATGTAAGTCATCTTTAGCAGTAAATACTGCATTAGCAAAAAAAGAAACAACAACAACAACAAACTTAGTCATGTATATGTGTGCGGGTTGTGTGTGTTACATTTTTACTCCGACATTGGCCCTTGGTCCTAAGTACCTCTTCTCTGTGCTTCTTATCCTTCCAGAGCCTACTCCTCTCTCTAATGCTAGGCTAAAGCAATGTGTTTTTACTAATGTCTGTGATATTTATTAAGAGTTTCCCTCAATTGCTCCACAGAAAAATAGCAAAAAATACAGAGATGAAAGTGTATACAAAGAATGTAAATCACAGACCCTATCTAAAACCCTGAACTTTGCAAAGCCACAGACCTGGGCTCATGTAAGTTCCAGGATTCCTCTAACCGTCTGGGTTTTATCAAAACATTAAAAGATAAAATATTTGATGTATAATTAAATAATTGAATTGTTAAACCAGAATCACTCCAGGTGGATCCACTGTGTTTCCCAATTGACTCAATTTCAATAAATTTCATCATTTAAAAAAAAATTACAAATGAATTAAAGAAAAACAGTGAGAATCTGTAATTGGGTCCAGCGGTCATTACTGGAATAGTTGTGCCTATTTCCAACAAAGGGATTAGCAATTATGAACGATGAATGGGTAGTCTGACTGTTCCACTCCTTTTGGATCTTTACACTTTAGTTTTATTATTTCTTAATGCTTCTCTAAACAACAGTATTTAGTAAATTTCATTAACTAATAAAAAAGTAAGAAACCAAATCACCATCTAACAAGTGCTACCATATTTTAGAATTATTTTCTTTAAAATTTTAGGGCAAGTGGGAGGAGCAATTAAAACAAATTTCTATTTCTAAATGATTTTAACCACATGTAATAAAGTCCTTTTCAGTCCAATGTTTGAGACTTTTGTCCAGTATGAGAAATATTTACGAAGTTTCTTTCTGGATTAATTCTGATTTACTTATTTTTGCATTTTTTACCATGCTACTTTTAATAAAGGGGTTTCACATGTTGCAAGAGCAAAAAGACACGACAATCTTGTCTTTATCCCAGTCTAATTCCTTTTGTGTTTCTGTATTTGGCATGAAAACTGCATGCTTTCCATGGAACTTCAGCAAATTTTGTGAAAACCAAAGAATGAAAGAATGAAAATAAAAAAAAAAAAAAAAAACAGTTTGTTGTGTGGTAGCTCTGGAACGCTAGGGACAAATGCTCCTGCATCTATAATGCTCTGTAATTCTAAATGAATATGTCAATTGATGGAATTCCTCCAACATCACTGTTACCGCTACCTCAGGAAAGCAAGCATCAATGTATGTGAGGCTATTTTCAAATTTGTAGGCCAATCCCTAAGGATCGCTTCATAGTATCCCCCACATCCATACCCCAAGCAGGCTTCACCTTTGCTGAGAATTCATAGAGTAAAAGAAAGACACAAGGAAACACAGTCTTACTATATATATGCTAGATAGCATAAAAGGAGAAAAGGTCAGAAAAGAACTTCAGAGTTGCTTGTAGAATTAAAATCTAAAAAGAATATACCAATCCTTCCTTTCCCCTTTCTTGGTGTCAAAGCCGTTCTCACATGTAACACATGTAACACATGTAGCAGTTTGAAAATGATCATGGAGTTGTGAGATCTCTGGGTCTTTCCATTTCCCCAAATTTTGATTTTGGTAGTACCCAATAACTTAGAAGAACCCTGAAATCATCCTACAAGAATCTTGAGTCCAAGGCCTTGCCAAGTCTGGTTTGCTAGAGAGCATCTGTGGTTTCTCTCTGCTTACATTCTTTTTATAAACTTTCAGACCAATATCTGTTTGATATTGGTCTGTTCAGTTCAGCTTTTCATCATGATGTGTAAAACACTTTAAATGTCATTATCATTTCATAATTTTTATGAAAATAGTATTAATTAGATGCATAAAACTTCTACTCAACCTAACTTTTAATGAACAATATACTACCAGATTCCAAAAATATTTTATTGAGATTTAACTCTATTCCACTGTCAGATCTTAAATTCCAAGACCAAGACAATACCACTGAAGAAACTTTAACTAAGTATTCTTAAATAATTTTTGTTTTTGTTTTGCACCGGGGATTGAACTCAGGTCCTTGAGCTTACGAGGCATGTGGCAGAACCACTGAGCTAAATCCCTACCCCAGGAACAGTTATTGAGAATAAATATTCTTTATATACTAATCATAAAACACACCACACATAGGCCTATATGTAATGGATTCATCAGTTGTAAAGGGGAAAGGATGTTTGTTCCACTTAGCCTTAGAAACAAAAGGTTATGATATATATTTCTACATAATCAGAAAGGAAATCATATTTTATGAATTCCTGGGAGTGGCATTTTTGCTCAAGTTTATGTGTTTGAGATATACCCGTACTGATTCATGTTGCTACAGTTCGCTTATTTCCTATGTATTGTAACCAACTGAATACATCCAATGGATATATCCATTTTATTATTTAAGGATATTGTTGTTCTTTTCAATGTTTTTACTATTCCAAAGAATATTTTATTGGAGTGATCTGTGCAAGCCTCCCAGAATACACCTGCTAAATAATTAGCAGTAGAATTACTGGGTCACAGGATAGAATATGTTTATTCTGACACCAAACTGGTTCTCAAAATGACTGCTCCAAAATTTACTCCCATGTACTAAGTCTGAGACTGCTCATTGCTCCACAACTTTTGATACTGTCACCCTTTACTACATACTAGTCATTTGAATGTGAAACAAATCTCATGGCAGTTGTACTTTGCATTTTGTTGTTTACTAATACAATATCTTTTCATGTCTCTTGGCCTTTCCAGTTTCCATTTCTTCAAAACAGATGTTCTTTTCTTTTTCTTTTTTTTTTGTACCAGGGATCTAACTCAGGACCTTGATCTTTCTAGGCAGGCAGCAGCACCACTGAGCTAAATCCCCAAACTATATGTTTTAATATTATCCCTTCTTTATCAATGCAGTGAGTGACCTACAGAAGAATTAAGATTTTTTTTTTTTATTTGGTACTGGGGATCAAATTCAGGACCTTGCACTTGTGAGGCAAGTGCGGTGCCACTGAGCTAAATCCCCAGCCCAAGAATTAAGACATTTTACCAAGATCAGGAGAAGCAATAAATAGGCAGAAGTAGGATCAGCACCCAGGATGTACACCTCCCACAGCCACGCTCTACCCACCATGCTCTGCTGCCCACAGTCGTGGGCCATTTCTAACACTGTAATCTTCCTTGGAGGAAGGTCCATTATAAATCAAGCTTCCTGCCGATTTGTTTCCCCTCATCTGTTTTGTTTTGTTTTTTTTTTATTTTTAGCCTTAATTCATGGTTCTTTTCTTTGCTAATGACTATTCTGAATTTCAGTTTTATAAAGAGCCAATAGTAAATGTTAATCTTCAACAAGTAAAAGCAAAGTGATCACTGGGGTGGAGAACTATAAATTGTCAGTCACAGTGTTGAAAGAGACAGAAGAGGGTAAAGTGATGTCTCAGTTAAAAGAAACACCATCTGTAAAATCTAAAACATATAAATTACAGTTCAGTTACATTAATAAGAGCAGGATTCTGGTGGTCAAACATATGGCAGTGACGGTGACCTCAAAAGATTAATTTCATGATGTAAATATTAAAGGCTGCAAAAACTCTAGATATCATCGTAAAGCATAGATCTTTTATCATTTGCTAGAAAAGCATTTTGGGCTACTTTGAAAAACCAACTCTATTAACTAGCACCCGAAGAAGCCACAAACCAAAGCACATGTCAAAGATTATAGAGATAACAGTCAAGATGTATCTGCACACCAACATCTTCTGTATCTTACAAGAAGAGAAAAAAAGAAAAAATGGATCCTTAAGTTCCGTCAAAACAATTAGAGTTTTTGTTTACCAAAAAGTTTTGTTTTTTCTCAAAGTTGTGTTTTATACAGAGTAGCCTATAATGCAGGGTGATGAAAAGGCTAAAACACACTCAGAAAAAATAGTTATTGCAGTTTTACCCTCACCAAAGACAAGGGGAATCAAGGGTCATAAAAGCAACATTCTGATGTGCTTTTATCTGAAGCAAAAATAATCATAAGAATGATGAAACTTGGGAAGAATTGAGGAGGGAAACAAACTTTTAGGAAGATTATACCACTGAATCCATGTGGCTCACTCAGAAATACTTCTTTTTCCCCTTGTTGTGGAGGATTTCAGTTTTTATGGTTTTATTCAGTCATGTTGCAGTTTGAGCCAAAAGTGTTTAACCTTTGAGAAGCCAACTGGGTTCTGGGAAGGATGCCTGTCTTAGACTGGGCCATGCAAGAGTTGCACAACTCAGTGCAGTGAGGGGAGGATTCAGCAAAAGAATGACAGATATTTAAATTTAGGAACAACAAAGGAACGCACATGCAGCCAAGTAGCCAAAAAAGAAATCAGGAAAGAAAATATCTAGCACAGCACTTGATTTAAAATGTAAAACAAAACAAAAACTACTGTTCCAAATTATGGGAGCACAAGCTCAAACAAAATTTCAAGTCTTTGGAAGCCCATCGTGGTTAAGCTCTTGCAGCTGGCCTACATGGAGGGCTTCTAGCTCCTCAGCAACATTCAGGTGTCAGAACAGAAACTGACTGGACCTGCATTTTGGATAACTTGTGAAGAAAGCCTCCACTGATCTCACGAGCTTTATTATGTTGAAAATGAATCTGATTTGTTTTTGAAAGAACAGTCAGTTTATAATGAAATTATCTCAAATCTATTCACCCAATCATTTGTGGCCACAAATACACCAGGAAATTGGACAAAGGCAGTTAAGAATGGGAAGAGCCCTGATTAAGAG